TGGGATGGTGCTCAGGTGGAATTGGAAGCTATTAAGTCTTTCCAACAAGTCGGCCAACATTGGATGTTTGAATGTAAGGGGCTTATCCTTGAAAGAGATGATGCTAATATAATACATTTATTGAGATCTACCATGAAGCGAGACAATTGGTGCCAATGATTGCATGATCAACCAGATTTTGCCTTTTTGCTTTCTTTGAAGCAGGTTTTTGTTATCTCATATTTCTCGTGAATATAATAAGGCCGCTCATTTTTATGCTAAGCGTACCCTTGGTGGGTCTTTTGTTTTGCTAAATATAGAGGATGATAGAAAACTTTTTACTATACTTGTAAATGATAGGTCTCTTTTTTGTACATCATGGATGAATACATGCATGTTTCTGTACATTTTTTATATAATAATGCAAAACGCACACTTTCAAGGAAAAACAGGGCAAAGGGGTGATTTGGGCGGCAACAATGACAGCGGCTGGGAGGCTAAGGCTGCAGAAAAATAGCTATCAGAATGTTGTCCTGGGCGGTTGCAGCAATGAAGGGCAGCCGGGAGAGACGTGGGGAGGATGCGAAAGGGGATATGGAAGATAACCACCACCACAAGAAAGAGGTACAGCCAAAGCACCACCCAAATCCTCAAATACATCCCTCGAAAGGAGAAAACAGACGTCGGCGGCTGTACTAAATAAAACACACCAAAAACTCTCTTCCAAACCCTAATACAACACATATATAGAAAATGACTAAAAAGAAATAGAGGATAACAAGAAAGAAAGCACAAGGAAGGAAAATGGGATTATTTCGATGCCTCTCCCACAATAGTTATTCTAGCGGTACTATAGCAGCTACAATGCCGTGTAAACTTTGAGTTGTAACTCTTGCGTCAATCTTCCGGGGTTGGGGAGAGCTTCAACCTCCTATGTCAAAACTTATGTCTATTCATTGTATGGCGCCAGGTTAATCATATTGAAAGTGACGCAAGCATTTTAATCTCTCGGTAATTCAATCTTTTTGACATTGACATTCTAAAGCACATCTTGATAGAATTGATATTCATTCTATTTTGGTACAATCATAATTAAAACTATATGTAGATGGGTATCCTCACAAACCAAGTCTCGAGTCATTAAAAGTGTAATTAATTTCTTCCACACTTCGTACTCGTCTGAGTGTGAGTGTATGCAATAAACTCATATGTAAGAAGGAATTAACTCTGAGACGAAATCTATGGCCGACTGGACCACACAGAAGTATTACCACTTAGAAGAAGTCTCCTCTCCTTCTTCTCTGAAAGGATCTGGATCCAATTGGAGACTTTTCTTCCCATAAAACTCCAAAGACAATTTTCAAAGTTGTGGCTCATTCTTCTTGTTTGAACATCTGATGGTAGGTACACCATTGAACTAAATCTCATTATTTGGTGACTCATCGTTGCCTAAATCCTCACAAGATTCTGATAAATTGTTATTGTATCTATCACCGGTTCAGAACTTGATACGGCTCCACATCCACCACCTACAACTTAGCCCATACCACCTATCACTAAAGTTAACTCTAGAATATCTCATCAACCTGATCCTAGTTCGGCACTGATATCATCTCATTCAACGAATCCTCCTCCCAGTGGCCTTGATCTAACTATTGCTCTTCAAAAAGGTAAACGTCAACGTGTCTATCCCATTTTCTCTTATGTTAACTATAACCATATATCTTCTACTTATTTGTTTATTGCTTCTCTTGACTCGATTGAGATCCCAAGCTCTGTTTAGCAAGCCCTATCACATTATGGATGGTAAGCAATGATACTTGATGAAATGAATGTCTTAACTGTAAATAGAAACTAGGAATTAATTGAAATACCTTCTGAAAGGAAAGTTATTGGTTACAAATAGGTCTTTACAGTTAAATTTTATTTTGATGGATCTGTAGCTCGTCTCAAAGCTCGATTGGTTGCTAGGGGATATACTCAAACTTATGGATTTGACCACTTGGACATGTTCACTCCGGTAGCTAAGTTGACTTCGGTTAGCCTCTTTTTATCCTTAGTTGTAATGAATAATTAGCTCCTACACCAACTTGATGTGAATGTCTTTTTGCATGATAATCACTTAAAACATGGAGCAACCTCCAAGTTTTATTCCTCAAGGGGAGTCTAGGAGAGTGTGTCATTTTCAGAAGTTATTATATGGACTGAAGTAAAAAACCTCGGGCATTGTTTGGAAAATTCAACAAATCATTAGAAGAGTTTAGGATGCATAAAAGTAAAAGTGATCATATTGTATTTTACAAGCAATCTGTTTATGGAATCAAACTTCTAGTGGTATATGTTGATGATATCATTATTACTGGAAGCAATGTGCAGAAAATTTTATCTGTAAAATTATTTCTCTAAAATCAATTCACCACTAACGATGTGGGTGCCTAGAAATATTTATTGGAAATTGAGGTATCAATGAGCAAGAAGAGTATATTTCCATCTCAAACGAAATACGTCTTCGATTTATTAGCAGAAATTGAGAAATTCTAAGTCAAATCATGCAGTACTACTATGCTTCCTAATCAACAACTTACCAAGGATGGAGAGCATTTTAATGATCCAGAATGATATAGAAAGTTAGTTAGAAAACTAAACTACCTCATAGTGACTCGCCCAGATATTGCTTATTTAGTTAGTACAATAAGTTCGTTCATGTCTTCCACCACAGTTCATCATTGGTCAACTTTGAAATAGATGTTATGTTACCTCAAAGATGCTCCTGGACAAGGTATTCTAGATCAGATCCATATGCATAAAAATATTAAATGTATCTCTAATGCAAACTAGGTGGGTTTCAAAATTGATCAAAGATCTAATTGATATTATGTTTTTATTGGTGGCAATTCGATCTCATGGAAAAATAAACAATAGAATGTGGTGTCACGATCTAGTGCAAAATTATCGGTTGATGATACAAGCTTCAAGTGAATTGATATTGATCTCCCAATTGTTGACTAAAATGTGATTTAAGACGACAGTTCTGGCAAAAAAGTGATGTAATAACCAAGTTGCAATTCATATTACCTCAAAACCTACCTTTCATGAATAAACTAAGTACGTTGAGATAGATTTTCACTTTTTTTGTGAAATATTTAACAAAATTTAATTTCTACAACCCATGTAAAGATTGGAGAACAATTAGGGGATAATTTTCACAAAGGCCTTTAATGGAGCTAGAGCTACTTATATTTGTAACAAGTTGGGCATGATAAATATCTATAATCCAACTTGAGGGTGAATATTATTGAAAGAAATATATTAGAAAGCTTATATATTAAATATCTAATCTCATAATCTTTTTTATTAAAAAATATTCCTAATTTATAGAGATGGGATTGTGTATAAATATGAAACATGTGTTCAATAAATAAGAAGAGAAAGATTTGCTTCTCTTTACAAAAACCAAAAAAACATTCAATGAAAGAAAAAAGTTCAAAATTCAAAGATTTAACTCAAATTGAACAGGGAGTTGAACCATAATGGAAAAAATAGACACTTGGTTAGACGGAAGAATAAGTTGTCAACTAGATGACCCAAAAAGACAAATAAAAATTGCCCTAATATGCTTGAGAAGTGCAGTAATTCTAATTCTCTAAAAGAGAATTTTTCAAAACCCATTGAAATGGATGCAAGGCAACCAACACCAACACCATTCAAGATCAAGCATCAAAAGGCTAAGGGAGTTCAAGTCAAGCACAAACTAATCACTAAAAGTTAGATCAAGCACGGGCTAAGGCACTTGAAGCAAACACTTTGTATTATTCACTTTTAATTTACTTCCTTATAGATTATTATATAATAGAAACATGTATGAATAGGACTTCGTTCTCGTTTGGCATATCAAATCTTTCCTACCCCTCCTGTTGATTGGAAAATCTTGAAAGTAACTAAAAAATAAAAAATAAAAATCAAAGCAATATTCAATATTTAATGGCTGAAGTCAGGAGCTTGGAAGATCTCTCCATTGGAGTACCTGGTATGTTCATGTTATTTGAGTGATTAAGAATTCAATGTATGCTAGTATGATGTTTTTTTATGTTGAAATGTGGTTTCACCCCTTATTTTTCCCATAAACAATCTCTCTTTAAACCAACAGCTTTTAAACACATAGCCCTCCATAGCCGTTGTTTTTATGATGATGATGATGAATCAATCTTTTCTCTTGATCTCCACTAAATGGTTTTAAAATGCCTTGAATTTGAAATAAAATATGCTTCAATTACAAAAATAAGATATAAAAAAATTGTTTCAAAGAAAAGATCAAAAAAATGTTGAAAATATCAAATAATGTTGTGAGGCTTGCATCATTAACATTATTACTACATTAAAGATATAAAATTACACTTAAACATAAATTAACTAAGCAAAGACTCTCAAAACAATTTGTGTATCGTAAGTTAAGAGATGACATGGCAAAATATATTCATGGAGAACCAAATTAAAATTTTTACAGCAAGCGGAATATAATTTAGAGTGTTTGACAAAAATTAAATATAGTTTTTTTTTTTCTCTTTTCTTTCTAATGTCATCAATAAGAAAGAATGATTTTTAACTTTAAAAACTTTTATAAATGCAATACTGATAATTCAAACATATATAAAAGCCATATAGCATTGCTTTTAAATTCTTCTAAAAGTGAAATATGGTAGTAAAACAATAGGTACATCTCGTGTTTGCTATATAAATATTTTTAAGGCCAAATCACTGCTAATCAGGCTAAGCATTATAGCAAAAATCATGATTTGAACTATTTAAAATTTGATTTACCATCCAAATCAAATGGCAAAGTTTATTTCATTGCTCATTCTTTAGTCTAACTCAGTTTCAATCACATCATAATTATGAAAATTAATATGTCAACACTAGCAATACCCTTTCATGGTATAAAAACGTTTTTAAACTTAAGTCTAAAGAAGCACATTATTAAAAGGCACCTCATAAATTAATGACTTAAATTATAAACCAAATACCTCACAGGTGAAGATAACCAAATTTGCCTATTTGGGGTTTGCTTGTTAATCACATAGGTGCCCAAGTTACCAAGCTTCAGTGTCAAAACCTGATTCTGCCAGTGCACATGGACACTACATTTCAGTGAACCTAATCAACTACAAGTAACATTTCATTCAAACATAAAAAAGAGGGCATTTGCATAAATACCATACAATTCTTATTTATAAACATATCAAACACCTAAGCATTCATATACATGCACACCAAATCTCTAACAACGCATCAAAAATACCACCATCATTGTCTTACTAAAAGTGAAATACACATTTTTTATGCATAGGTCTATGACATCAATGAGTTATAAGTGTAAATATCAAACTTTAGGCGTAAGATATGCAATGCATGTAAATTTCCGGAAAAACAAATTCCAAAAGCATCAATTTCACTGACCCCAAAGTCAATGTCAAAACCATCACTCTGGACGGAATCGCCATATTCCTAACACCCAAATGAGAAATAAAACATCATTAGAACTAATCAACAACACTGATTCTGGAATTCGGGGACTATAAAAATAAAGATTAAAGAATAATTACTTCAAACTTCTCCTGCAGATCATATAAAGTCGAATCAGCTAGCCTGTGAAAATCATCCTCAGAGACGAGCATTCTGTCAAGACAGCACACTTAAGTAAAAAAGGGAAAAGCAAGCACTAAACACACATATTTCATGGAAAGAAACAGAGTGAAAGAAAGGTGAAAATTGCAGATAAAAGCCAAAACCAATTTCATGGAGAAAAGCATAGAACATGTGAAGCCGAGCTTTTATAGAAAAAAAAAAATCAACTTTTTAAGGCCTTACTGGTAATCAATGGCAGTCGGACCTGGATCTTCGTCCATCTGAGAAGGATGCGAACAGAAGAAAGCCGCCCTACTAGAAAGGCTGGGGAACTCGAATAACAAGAGCTCAGCTCTTCTGATGGAAGACAAAGCCGTGGGAGAAAGATGGCAAGGAGAAGAGAAGAAAATAGTGGAGGAGTAGAGAGAGCGTGAAGCCATAGAAGGAAGAGACCTCCCTGCTCGTAACTGGCGAAATAAAAGCTTATGGGAAGACGAAGACACCATAGGAGTTCTGCGAGACGCCAACAAGCCAAGAAAATAAGGGCGTTGGACCGATTCTTCGAAGAAATGGGAAGCTGAACTGCGAGGCGCACAATACGGACTGGCAGCCAAAAAAAAAATGCAGTAGAAATTTTATTGTAGGAATTCTTCTGGAGTTTCAATACTAAAATTTTTTATGTGGGGGATTGTCTTGATGTCACTATCAATCATACTAATCTTAAAGCTATTGCTTGTCCCAAAATCCTCCATGAAGTGTAACAGTAGTTAAATGAGGAAATAACAATTACTTACCTTCATTGATAAATTCTAATTAGTCAATATATCTATTTGGATTTACATAGAGATTATCTCAAATGAACAATAACTTTCTACATCATAATGGTGTTGATAACAAAGTGCACAATATTATTTGGAACATTATCACTACAACTAAGGACTATGCTGAACTTAGCCTTTTTAGCATGGACACCATAATATCTTATAGGCAAATCAAATACCATTTGAATCCATTACAACTCTAATTATTAAGTTTGAGAGCCTTATTATTTCATGATTTATTGCCTTCTTCTTACTAAGGACTTTGAGTTGATAGACAATAATGGGTGTGCTCGACTCACCTACCATAATACATGGTGCATCATGTACAACTCATTTAAAATATCCTTGATGCATGATAGAAAATTAATGATGGTAGAGTAATGGATTATCGCTTTGGCATTGCACGAGAATTCAGCACACACTCAGGTAAGAGAAAACAACTAGTAATGACACTAGAAGTTTTTACGTGAAAAACCCATAAAGAAAAAAACCACGAGGTTTGGCCAAGAAGTAAAAATTCACTATAAGTTGATGATTACAGAGAACCATTGTCTCACAAAAGGGAAAGGGTTACTGGATTTTTCAAGCTACAATGTCGACTGGAGGTTTCTGGTCGGTGATGGTCGACAGTGATTGGTGGTGATCGACAGTGGACAGCAGTCTAAGACAGTCGGTGGTGGTTGATGGTGACAGTAGTGATCAACGGCGGTCGTTGGTTGTCGACGGCGGTCGGCAGGGGTTGACGCCAATCGGCAGTGGTTGGCTATGATCGACTGTGGTCGGTGAGTGTCGACGACAGTAGGCGGTTTTCAGCGGCATTCTGCAGTGGTGGGTTGGGGTCGACGACGGTCAGTGATGATTGACGGCGGTCGGCAATGATCGACGGTGACATGCGTAGTGTTAGACTTCAGCCCCTTCTAAAAGCTTTAAGTTCTCTCTCAAACCTTTAGTCTTCTCTCGTAAGAGTGATGAGGTTTTATTTATAGTGTTCTAGGTGCAATGAATGCGGGAATATGAAAAACTTTGATCGGATGGTCCGGAGGGCTTCCTCCGATCAGACGACGTTTAATGAACATTTGAGTGTCTGAATGATGTCAGAATTGAGCAATGTTAAGCTCGTTGGACTTGCCTTGTCGAGATGTTTGATTCAATTATAGGCTTGCTAGATTCTGCATTCGTTTAACATTTTAAATATGTCTGAAAAACTTCCAAGTGTGGTTTAATGACTTGATATGAGCTTGATTTGACTCAAATTGCACTAATTTTGGTAACATTGAGTTCTTCTTTTCGAGCCGGTCAGTTTGACTATAAGTTTGTTGAAAATGGAGTAGTGGATGAGTTTTTATCGCAATTTGAATATCTTTTGCTCAAAATGCTACCTCGAGATTTATGTCATACCTCGAGATTCATTTCGGATGATGGAGATTTACTGGAGATGTGTCAATCCTAATTATGGATACTCAATATATTTACCTATGGAAAGTAAAAAACACATTTTAAAATCATTTGATTTACAACTCGTATGAGAATCATCTTAAAATAGATTGATACAATGATGTATGGTTTAAACGATGCTTTTTTAAATACATTGTTATTAGTTAGAAGATCATTATTGAAGGCTTAACAATCAAAGATGCCTTGGCACTTAGTGGATTATCTTTTGACCCTCAAAGTGTACCTTTTTATGCTCATAACGAAGCTCACACATTTATTTTTTCTAATGCTTTTACTCACTTTTACATATTAAACAGCACACGTGCATAAACTTTGTGTAATCTTCCATAAATCTTGGTTCATGCAGACTTTCAATTGTACCATTACAAAAAAAAAATAATAATAATACATTCTAGTTGTCCACATTACAACTCACTATATTTGGCTTAAAGTGAATCATATAATTTTAAACAAAGCCAACACCCCAATTTCTAATCATATTAAAAAAACCTTCTTTATTATTAAATTAAAAATAAGGTAATGGAAAATTGAATGTGAGTTACATTTCATTTTTATACACTTAGATTTTATAAGAATTATTTTTTCTATACTCTTATCATTCACATAACATTGGCATCATTATTTATGTGGATAATGAACTATTTAGTGGTGTGATGAGTTTTTGAAGGATCAATATGAAGTACTTACTTTGACATTTTGGTTTTCATATGTGTTTTATATATTGTGAAAAATCGGTACAATTGTTATGTCTTATTTTAAATGGCTTATCTGCTCATATTTATTTAGGAAATTACTTTTTAATTGTTCTTTTTTATCTGCTCATTTAGATTAGCTCTCTAGATGCAATAACTCTTTTGAAAATTTCATCTTATAATGCTAATATGTGAGTGGTTGGAATGTTGATATCTACTATGATTTGGATTTTTTTGGATTACTCCGGTTACTAGTTATCAACAAAGTTTCTGAATCTTTGTTGCTTTATACCTCTTTACATAAATCTTATTGTACTATCCTACTTTGATTGGATATTATGTTTGGATTAATTTTCTTATAACTTTAATTTATTACTATATTCAACTCCCTCAATCCTTAATTTATTATTTATCTATTTGCGTAAATTTCACATTTACTGTTCTTTTAATAATTTATTTTAGGTTGTATTTTTGGAACCAAGCAATCAATTTTTGGTGGTTTGTCTAAGTTTTTGTACTTCATTGCATATAATTATGCTTTATGCCCTTTTTTTGTGGGGCGGTTGATGATATCCAACCTTGGAAGCGACTCAACCAACTATCTGGATTTCATTACTACTTAGTCCATTGATTTTTAGTTGATTCATGGCTTGCATCAATTCTATGTGATCTCACATGTTTTTTATTATGCACTTCACATTATATTTTTTTTTCTAATTTATCACAGATTTACAATTGAAAAAGGTTTTTTTGATGTTGTGCAGAATACAGGTGTTATAAATGTGCATTATAATAAGAAAAAATAATGTAAAAGCAGTCTAAAGCGACATGGCCATGCCCGGATGCAGTATGATCATGCCAATGTATCAACACCAGTGGCATGACAATGCTGGAACTACAAATAGGTGACATGAACACATCGGGATTGGGAGTGACCACACCACCCAAATTAGAAGGCGGCATGACCTGGTCAACGGAACGGGGAATTACTTTGGCAAGAAGTTTTCTTACCAAATTCGTGGTTTAAGCTATAAAACATTTCTTAGAGCATTTATGGAGGAGGAGACAAATGGAAAAACTAAAAGAGAATTGGAGACAGAAAGAGAGATGTTTTAGAGAGTTTTTTCTAAGACTTATCTTCTTCCCTCAGGCTTGAGATGTTAAGGGTGTTTTCCACATTTTTCTATCTTATATTTTCTGCAAGGTTATTGTATGAAGAGGAGTTCATTGTGTAGAAGAGGAAACACATGGTATTGTAAGTATTTACTTTTAGTTTTTACTTTCAATGATGAGTTCAATGGAATGTTTTTCCTTTATTATTTCAAACAAGCATAGCTAAATTTCCTTACACACTCTATGATTCATGGTATCTGATTTTTTTAGTTTTCTTGGATGATTTCATTATCTTTATTGCCTTCCTGAGGGATCAGGGTTTTTTAATTATTGTGTTAACTATAGAGTTTAATTTACTCCTGATATAATCAATTAGGATATTAACATATTTCGTGATATATGACTCCCACCCATTGCATAGAGGAACGAAATAGTTAATCACAAAATTTGGGTAACAATAGGCATATTTTATCCAAGTTTTACAACACAGAAAGGGGATCAAAATAAATCTATGGAATACCCTAGGGCCTTAGAGAGTCTTAATAACATGGATTCTAGCCATCTTTTGACCTAAGCATAGGCATAATGAGGACTTTCTATCTCTGTTGACAACTATTCTATAAGGGACAATCTAGGAAAATCACAAACCACATCACCTACATCACAGGAGCGTCGGCCTCACATACCTTGAAGAATTGTAAGATTTTTCAATTACTATTTTCTGTCTTTTTTGAACTCATTATATTTTATTTTTTCTATTAAGTAAGATTTTAATAAATCTTCTCATGTTTGAGATCACACTAAACTAGATTTAGAAATATAGTAAACTGCAGATTTACCCTTCATAATAACTCTCAACACTTTATTCATGTGATCGATACACGACACTCTTTAAACGCATTAATACTTGACACATATACTTGCATGATTTGACCTATTTTCTTCACCGCAACTTTTCAAGTCGTCAAGTTTTTGGTGTCGTTGTCAGGGAATGGCGTTAAGAAAATTTTTGTTTTTAGGTGAGCTAAAAAAATAAAACAGCCAAAAAAAAATCTTTGTTGTTAAATATGTTTTGTTTTCTTTTCATATTTGTGTGTATTGCATATGTATTTGTTGAATGACTTGCATAAGTCGTGATTGATTGCTAAAAAAATTATGTTGAGTCTATCCTTTTGCATACATATGGGAGCTGAGGATGACCTCACCTCTTTTGATCATGAGATTGGATGCACCTTTAAAAATCTTAGGATAACACAGGTATCCATCAACACACCTGTAGAAATGGCAAACTCTCTATAATCCATCATGATACCCCTTAAGGGATTATGTCAAGTCATTAGTAGATGAGATCCATCTGAGCTTTAATTACCCAATTATTGAAGCTAATACTTTTGAAATGAGACTTATTCAAATGGTACAAAATATCTAGTTTGTGGGTACCCCATCTAAGGACCCAAACCTTTATTCAGCAAACTTTTTAAAGTTGTGTGCCACTTTCTAATCAACCGTGTATCATGTGATGTTGTTAGGCTGCGCCTATTCCCATTTTCA